TTATATATATATATATATATATATATATATATATATATATAACTAACTGCAGACAGTACTGTTTCGGCCTTCTGGGCCTCATCAGTGCAGTGCTAATGCTAGGATGGGGGAGAACCGAGACGGTCACCCCAAACGACCCAACCTTTGTGGTATCGTCTAAGCCATGCCAGAGTGCTCAAACTAGAGTAAACCAGCGAGCATGCGCACTATATAGTATGCACACTATATAGTAGTGTGGCACATGAGGACGGACAACTTCGAGTGAAGGAAGACATATACTCAATAAAAAGTCTAAAAAGTGTAATAAAAAACGTTTCGGTCTGAGACCTTCATCAGACAAGTGATGAAGGTCTCGGACCGAAATGTTTTTTATTACACTTTTTAGACTTTTTATTGAGTATATGTCTTCCTTCGCTCGAAGTTGTCCGTCCTCGTGTGCCACACTACTTCTCCTACCATTTAACGAGGTTTGGACTGTGAATCCTTTTGGATCCTTCTGGCACGGCGTCACTGTTGGCTCGAGGCCTCTTAACGTATATTGATATATAGACATCGGTGGACAGTGACTTTGGAGGATGGTGTTTTGAGTTGAAGAGTTGTGTGTGAGGTGATCAAATACAATTGTGTGCATCTCAGTGAAAATGCATGTTTTGCTGGGAATATGATGATGGAAAGATTTGGGCTTTGAAAATGACTGAAAATGACAGAAATAATTAAATTGAATTTCCCATGTGTTCCAGGGCAGTGTGATAGAAATGAGTGAAAGAATTATAAAGCCAGAGTCAGATGATTAGATTTTGTTTTTAAATGAAACCATATTTTTAAGGTCTTGCACTTGACTTTAATTTGAAATTCAGGGATTTGAGACATTAATTTGAGTCAGTTTGAAGCTTGCTGTTGGGCAGTGCCCAGTACTGAGTGATATGAGGCAAATTGTTTTTCAAATGGAACAGGTTCCCCTTCTGTCTCCAAAATTGGTTTCAATATAGGAGAGAAACACTCCAGATCATGATAGCTCTTATTCAAGTGGTCACTTTGAATCTACTAGTAATTCTTGACATGCAGTAAAAGTTGTACATTGTGAAATAATTTATTAACAGAGTATTGTAAAAATATTGTTTACTGTAGTTCTTTAATGCAAAAACAGTGTGGATGTAATTTAATTCTATTGTTGCAGTCAACACTAAATAATAAAAGCATTGCTTCTGTGTCAGTTTTCTTTTGTACACATTTGTTTGTTATTTCTGCCTCTCAATCACTTAAAAATTAAGTATGTTTTTTGTTTAAAAAAAAAACTACAATAGACCACTTTCAGAAATGGCTGTTTGATAAATATTCTTTTGTTTAAATTTAAATTAGCCCTTCTGGCCTCGCTTGAGATAATGTATTCTTTTGAATTTTGTACTGGAGAACAAGGCCAGAAGGGCTAATTGAAATTTAAACAAAAGAATATTAATCCGGCAGCCATTTATGAAAGTGGTCAATGAACGTAATTAAATAGTCGATCAAATCTTTTAGTTGGTGTCAGTGTGTAGAGTTATAAATCATTGGAAAAATAATCTTCAAGCAATTTTTTCACAAAATCTTATGACATTAAGATCAGAGAGACAAACACTAGTACAACCGACAATAAGTTAGGTTTTTTATTTACAATAATTTTATGACACCAAAGGAAAAGTGCACAAAGCTTTTTGAGTCATATGAAATATTAGTATAAAAAATAAGTTATGAGTACAAATACAGAATTCTACAAGAATCAACAACAGCATTGGTGAAAAAGAGAAGAGGTCACAGAGTCAGATTCGAAAATTGGACATTCTGAATCCTCCCAGTGTTTACTAGGTAAATGAAAACTAAAACAAAACTTATGAATGTGAATGGTTGTCAGCGGCAAGACATGAGCACAAATGGAACATTGTGCACAATCTGAGAGTAATTGAACAGTGGGATAGGAAAGCTTTGGAACCAAGCTCATCTGTTTGGACAATAAGCATACCTTGAAAATGAAAGAGAAGTGACAGCTGTGTTTTTTTGTTGTGGGTATGTATCAACAATGCCTTCGGGTGTTTCCTCAAATTTTGTCATAGTTTTCAATGGTAGAGATGACATTTCATGTCATAACTCTGTCCCTAATCGTACAGGTGAAAAACAAATGGCACTCGAACTTTATGATCTCCCAATTCTGTTAGTCACCTGTATGATTAGACTGAAATATGCTCCCCTTGGTTCTAGAACCATTATTTATACTGTTTGGCATAATATAGAATAAATTTTAGGTACAGTAGAGCAAAAAGTTGAAGAAAATTAAGTTACTAAAACAGATATGTCGGGCAAGACCAACATTAACAGAAGGCAAAACAACATTTTGCTGTGGCCAGTGGTTTCTCCATTCCTTATTCACTGCTAAATTGTAATTAAAATAAATAATATATAATGTTACTACAATTAGCATTTGGACTCTGTTAGTCATTGTTCACAACATAAGTGATCCCCATGATATGCACATTCTATGATAAACTTTAAATTTAAAATAAATGAATGTTATTATGAATAAATGATACTCTACATTCTTTGGTTTTAATTAACGAAATCAATACAAAATTTAACAGAATGAGAAACAAACTAGCCTTAAAATAGTAAGTGATATATTTCAATACTTAAAGCTGGCCGACTCTGTGAGGAGCTGATATCATGGGTCATCCTCGGTGTAAAACCCTGACAAGGTTTTCTTTGTTTCATGAGGTATTGTTTCGCTGTACGCTATTGTTTACAATGTTTTGTAGTCTTCGTTTTACGTCACTCGTGAGCTTCACAGGTTTGTACACCAAGGATGAGCCGATATTCTCTGTTTTAGCCCCAACTCCATTGTCTCACTTTAAATCCATTTCAGATCTAGATAAACTTTTTGGTAGTTAAATGATTGGCAATAATAATTGTGTTAAATTCAAGCTGAAAGGCAGTAGATTCTGTTACAGTATCAGACTATCTTAGCAATATTACTGAATGTAAAACTAATGATCAAATTCTATATTCTGAAGTTATGACTTTCTGCCTAAACAACCAATCAAATCTAACACATACTTTTGTAGGAGTACAATCAGATTCATGATAAATACACTTGTTTTGGCACTTAGAGATGACAAAATCCACAAATGTTAAAGGATTATATTACTTAAATAATAACAAATAAATAAAAGTGATAGTGTTGCAATGATAGTTGTGGTCTGATAGTCTCTTCATATTTTATGTAGCTGCTTAAAATGAAGATCTTTTTGCATGTAACAATGTGGACTGCCACCCATTACTATCTCTTAATCATAGAAATAAACTGATATCATTCATCTTACCCACTGAATATTATTCCTGTGTGAGACAATACAGAAAAAAAATTATCACCTTCGGTTCCATAACTTTAAGTAGTTTCTAATCATGAATGTCAGAACACAAAAAATCATTTAACAGATGTTCTATAGATGCTATATAACCAAACTAGAGTGATTTCTCTTTTCCTCCATAAATCAAAATAGAGTTCATTTGGTATTTTAAAATAAATTGAGTTGCTTGATTCTGAACATATTTTTAAGACCCACAGTATAACATTTTTCACACAGATACTTCATATACTCAAAAGGTAGCATGCAATATTCAAGAAACAGTATTCCCATAAAAATGTAGTACAATGAAAGCTTTTGTTCACATTTGATTTTACAACTAAGGAAACAAGCTGGTAAGGTTTTCTGGTGGAAAATTTGACAGCATTTTTTGGGCCTATTTTATCACATAAAATGGAAAAAGATTCATTTGCGCTCCTAAAACTGAGTGCACAATAATGAATTTTTTTTCCTACAGCATCTCAGCAAGCTGGAATCTTGAACCCTTTGAATCTGATTGGTTAATTGCACCCTCATAACCAGTCCAGCTTTCTTCAATACAGACAACTTCTCCACACATCTGTGGCAAAGCCAAAAAAGACAACCCAAAAATGAATGTTTTTTACCAGTCTATGCCAGTGTGCCCTTGGTCTTAAGAGCTACAGACTTCAAACACACTCTTTTCCCCAAATCGACTCCCCAACCAGTAAATAGCATTATATACATCATACATATTTTAGTAATTGTTACGACCACTTCTCACTTTAGACGACACCTACAAAGATGTATGAATTCATTTACCAATAAAAAAGTCAGAATCTGCATCAAGATGCATGCTTATCGATGAAAGCCTTAGTCTTATTCCTGCTGGAAAAACAAAACAATCATTCCTTAGAAAATACCATATGATACCCTTTCTTTCATCCCTGAGTATTTCCAGCTGTGAAAATAGACCAGCCAATTTTTTTTTTCTTCACTTTCTTCAGGCCTGGTTTTATTAAGAAACTAGTTGCTCTGCTCATGAACTACAAATTGTATAATTTAACTGACACAGTGATGTAAAATGTCCTATTTCCATTTTGAATACTACATTCATTTGATGCATCAGCAAAGTCGTGCCTTAAAAAAAAATAAAAACTTGCCCATGGTATAACAGAATGATCTGTAGAATTAAGAAAAGGAATTGCTTCTCAAGGGCATATCTGCTTTATCGCCACTGATAAAAGAGATCTGGATGGCTTTCCCCAAAATCCTTCTTATGCAATGTTTGGAATCTCCAGGCTTCTTCTGGTGATGCTATCTACTGATAGAATTTTCAATCTTTTTGATGGTTGTTTTGTCCAAACTGCACAGGTCAAAGTCCAGTGTTGTTTCTGTGAGTTCAAAATGGCCTGTTTTTTCTAAAATGTCCACTATTTTCTGAAGAAGGCTAGAGTCTTTCAATGCTACAAGACGCTTGTAAAGTTGAAGTAAATCAGATGAAGGAGTTCGCTGTCCATTTTTGCCTTTCTTCAGATCTTTTAGCCGTTGTTTTGGGCTACAAGACAGATGCAAAAACTGAATCAAGGACAATTCAACAACCTCAGATCTAGAGCACGGATACATGTTTGGACCAAAGTATCTAAAACCCAAAGGAGTTAAGTTTCTTTATCTTGTGTGGATCTTTGTCAGTGTGAATCACTGTATATCTGAAGCCTGCTCTGGCACAAACCATTCTTTTTGGTCTCAGGGAGACCACTCACCTTTGCAACTGTTGTTTGAGCTTATCACACACACACACTCCCTCCCTTTTACAGCCATTAGTGGAAGAGAGTGTGGACCTAATGACACTGCTAGAAACTACCAAACGATTAGGAAAAAATCCCTGGTCTTAATATAAAACCTGAAAAATAATGCAAATAATTCCTTAGGATACCAGGTAGTCCTAGCCTCGGTTGTTCAAAGACTGGATTGTGTTATCCACTGGACAAATGTTGAAAGAACATACTGTCCTATTAACTGGATAGCAATTGATCCTGTGGATGGTGCTATCCAGCTTTCAAACAACCAGGGTTACAAAGACAAATTTCTCAACAGTAGAGACAAAGGAGGTGATTATGAACAAAACAAGGATGACCAAGTTTCACATCAAAGTCCTATTTGAAAAAATGGGTATCCAAAGGGCACAGGTGTAGGATACACTCACTTACATAATGGACATGAGTCAAGGAAAATAGTGTGGGATTCCACAGGTATTCCACATGAAAAGTGTTCACAGACCATGCAGAGAATGATACAGCATGCTTAGATCACCTTTTTTGTTCAAGGATGAATAAGGCATTTATCTTTGTGTTAAGAATCCTGCAATGAAGCAACTTCGTTTTCTTAAAAGTTTCAGAAAAAAACACAGAGAAGATGAAACCTTGTGCTATAAAAACATGTATGCAAATAAGCTACCCTACATATCAAAACCCTGCTCTGGTGATCCACTTTCCCACTGCTTCATAGTTCATCAATCAAATAAACTAAATACACCATAGATTTTCACCTTTGCTTTGTTGAGACATTCTTGTCAGTAGGACTTTTCAATTCATTCTTCTTCCCTTCTAATTTTTTCACTGAAGAGCTGCCTTTTGTTGTAAGCTTATTGCCAGTGTCTTTGTGTTGTGATGTACAGTTGGGAGAACCACTGATCTCTGAAACAGACTTCTGTGTTGTTCCTACGTTTACTGTTTTAGATTGAAATGGGGTAGAAATGTCACAAATGTGACTATCATCATCATCATCCTCATCACTTAGGTCTGCCATAAGTTTATCAAGTGCAACATTTGTATTTCCTCCTGAATTTCCCAATAGACTTGAACTTGAAGTGCTACTTGACCAGCTATCTCCAGAGCCACGTCGCCGAAAAGTGATCTTCTCAATTTTCTTTTCCTCTGGTTTAGAAGGTTTCAAATCTTCCTTTGGGGATTTCTTTTTTGCTTTCTTAGATGTAGACTCCCTTCGCTTAGAACTGCTGGGTACTCCATCACCTAATCCAGCTTCTGATGATGCTCGCCGATTCTTCTTTTTGTCTGTAGCAGGACTTTTGGAAGACAACGATTTTATTTTTAACTTGATATCTTTCATTTCTTCCAACCTGTCTTTGCTTTCATTACTAACACCTGGCAGTTCTAAGGGGATAAACCCCACTCCTTTGCTTGGCTTTGTAATGCCTTCATCAAGTTTCTTTTTCTTCTTTTTAACCAGCTGTACTTGAGTTTCCTCAGCTCCTGATGTGCTGGCTGATCTTTTAAGTCCTGGTGTTACAGCCTCTTGTGTTTTGACAGTCTTGTTGGCTACTGTACCTTCATGTTTAATTTTTTTGTTCTTTTCAGGATCTTGCACTAGTGATGAAACTTGAGGATTAATACGAACATCAGCCACAAGGCTGCTTGTCACTTGGGTGTCTTTGGTCCCTATGCTCTGTTCAGATGTTGTCCCATTCACTAGAGACGATGAACTGAAGAGGGAAATGAAAACAGATTTAGGAAAATGAACTTCATGCTCTATAAAGGTGCTCCAATAACAACATCACTGACTGAGGCTGCTTTTGGCTATATCAAGTGAACAATCAAATTTGAAACAGGGTAGTTTGGTAATATCAACTGAGTTGAAATTGTAAATTAGCCACCGTAAAGGCTTAAAAAGCTGACATTTCGAGTGTTAGCCCTTCGTCAGAGTGAATGGAGGAATTGTGGGTTGTGTGTTGGCTTATATGCAGAAAGTGCAGTTTATATGCAATAGCTATGCTATTGGTGGGAACATGGCGATGAGAAAAGCACGAAAAACACGAATAGTTTAGTAGAATGAAAAGCGTTTGTTGATACGAGTGCCGATTAGAGAGATAAACTTTTGTTCAAGAATTTTGCTGCTTTCCGAGCTACCTAAATGTAAGGAGAGACTGCAGATTGCCCTATGTTGCTAAGCAACATAGGGCAATCTGCGGTCTTTCTTTACTTTTTAACCCTTTTACGGTGGCCAATTTACAATTTCAGCTCAGTTGATATTACCAAATCACCTTGTTACCCCCACCGACGCAGCACCACAGTTCCTTTAGAAACTTACCCCCTTTATTCAAATTTGAAACTTACAGTAGATTTTGGATCCTTGCAATAGTTCATGTACTATGCGATTAATTCCGGAGACTTTTGTATACCATGCCATATTTCCTTCAGTCTCACCCCTTCTTTATATGAGCCTACAAGCTCCAACATGGGTGAGTATGCCTCTTTTCCACACAGAATCTGTGCATTCAAAAGATTTTGCACCTAGTTCCCTTATGATTTACAACTGCCTATGAAGCATTGCAACTAATGACAGAATTATTTGTCCCAAATGCAGTGCTCATCTAGGGATGGCACTTATTCAAGCTAATAAGAGACTGCTTAGATCAGCAAAGTCCATCTAAAGCATTCTAATTTACAGTACCTATGAAATCCATTTGTTGTGGTTGTCTTCTTAACAATCCCTCCACCTTTCACCAGCTTTCTTCTAAATTCATCAGTGGGGTTTGTGAAAGTTAGTGCCTCACTTCGAATGTTATCAATTGGCAAGGAGCCAAGGGCAGGAAGGATGAGATCATAGTCAAACCGTAGTTTCCTTGGTTCTATCTTGTTTTTAAAGTAGACTTCAATGGGAAGGTAAAAGCCACCATAACCTTGTTCCGAAATAACATATGGAGGATTTTTCAAAACTGCAAGAAGAGTAAGACAACACAATAATTCCAGGTATTCAAACTTCATTCTGCTTCTTAATAAGCTCTCCTTGTAAGGAGATTGATATAATAATTTTAATCATTGAAACATGGGTCACACAATTTTATATGCAATAACCTCTTCAGAGTTCTTTTCAGTATAAATCTTTCTTCTTACAACCTTGGTTATAACTTTACAGTCCATGCTATTTTACCAAAATTTTAAGCTGTAACTTGTTCTTTCATGAACTCTCCAAAGACTACTTGTGTGAAACACCCTACATTATACATTTTATCGGTGAGCAATTTTATATTCAGTTCTATTCTCAGTTTGACATATTATATTGTTTAAGTTAATTTTTAATTTAACCAAAAGTGTAATGCACTTTTGATCATTGTATGTAAAAAGCGCACTATAAATTGATAAATTATTATTATTATTACTGTTATTACATGAAGATTACTGTTCTCTTCCTATCATTACTCATCCTCTGTTGGTACAGGCACAAACATGCTGCACCAAGGGCTTTTCAGTTTTACTGTTTATACACAAAATGAGATATTGCTAAACTTACATCTAAGCCTTCTGTAAGAATTTGTTCCATAAGAACAAATTTTAATCTGACTTTCATTTCTGAATAAACCAAAAGCCACAATTTTTTTTTCACAAAGTTAAATTTTGACTTTCAAGGAGAACTTTGTTACCTTGAGAATATACAAGTCCCAACAAATAAATAGAATTATTAAACACTGTAGTCACCATCTGTCTTCTCATTGGGTAAACACCCACGATTAATTCTGGGAAACAGCACAACCTACAGATTATTCACCCTCATGCGCCTGGAAAGAAAACCCCTCTGAAAATCCAGTGCGCCCTCATGCGCCCTGTCAGATATGACTCGTTTTTATTGGCTGTAGCTAAGAAACCGTAGTCCCCTGGGTATTGAAATATATCTGAATGTGACCTGCATAAATTAACCTTTCATTTGATGTTATGTTTTTCATTCTGCGATTCGTGTGGGATTTTTAGCAAATTTTTGAAAATAGCGTTCAGTATTTTAGCATGGCTTCTCACGGATTTGACAATACTTCGCATTCTTCCAATGAAGAAGAAGAAATCTTTCCTTGTTTTTCTCTCTCGAAGTGGCTGAAATTCGACAGGAATGGCAGAGAAGGCTACAAGAAAACTCTGCGTGATGTTGATCGAGAAATCGGGTAGATCTTTGATTTTGGCAAGCACTAAGGGGGAACAAACTCCGATGTCCATATTTTCACTAGTGAAGAAGAAGATGATGAAGTAGATAGCGACAACGAAGATATGCCTTTGAGGTTCAATGGTCAAACACATTGAGTGAAATTGACATCGAAGAGTTTACCATAATTTCCACATGGCCCAACAAAAGATCTCGGTCAGGGTGTAACATCGAAAGATTTCCTTAATCTTTTCATCGACAATGGGAGAAAACGAAGTGATGGACGTGCCTTCGAAACATATGCTTGTGAGCAATGCGGCGTTGCATTATTTCAGCAAATGCGTGGTGAACTCTCCTGCTTTTCAAAATAGCAAGGAGGAAATTAACTCTTAAAAAACACTTAACTGTAGTTCTTAAATTGTACCTTGTTTTTTTTTTTTTTTTCATTCTTTAGAGCACTGTATTAGGCTGTAAAACACAATTTCACTTCACCTTCACTTTGCGAGTCGTGAACTGGTCAAAGATAAACGCAACTTTCTTTGTTTGGTATAATCTAAGCATTGTTCGTAGTCCTCTAACTGAAAGGGTTCTATTCAATCGATAGTTATTTCGTTCTTCAATAGTTCCATAGACAATTTTCTGCCAGGTCTGTGTACGCTTAACTTGTAACTTCTAGTTTTTTTTTACCTCGTGACGTTCACTGATGTCAGCACTGGCGGTAAATTCAAATTTGATCTGTGCAAGAAAACTCACGAATTTCACTCTCTTACCCGTGAGATGGCCTGTTTTAATGCAAAATTTTTTTTTGACTGATTCTTTTTGTTTGCATTTCTGCTTAGTTAAGAACAGCAATTGAGACTTACTGGGTTTAAGATGTTTTCATTCCCTTGTACATAGTAGGTAGTACAGTGATGGTCACTTTGTTTACTTGATGTCCATACTTTAATATTTTTTTTAAAAAAGCATAACATACATCTTCAGGGTTTAAGCAGTTTAAGTGATTCTTTATTATATTGGCAATCATGTTTTAAAGTTTCACTGCTGAAGAGTAAAACCAAGACATAAAATGGTAAATTTGTTTGGACCATGTGGTTTTTTTTAATTTGACAGCCATTTTGTCTGGATTTTCAGGGGTGGTCTGGGCTGAGAGCTTTGAACCCAATAGGGTTAGTGAATAATCTGTAGGTTGTGTGCGCAATGCATGATTTCCGGTGGAGCAATGTGAGGTTCATGGACAGCGAAGTAAGAATGGCTTCTTGATTCGCTTCATTGACCGGGCAGCGAGAAATTGAGAAATTACTTGAAGACAAAGATTCAGAAAATACTAAAAGATCGACAAAAGTGGCAAAGGAACTGTTCTACGAATACCTTAAAGAGAAAAATATCCAGGAGCCACATGACAAAAAGGAATTAGCCCAAGTGAAAATTTGTTTACCAGACAGTTGTACATTTTTAAGCGTTCAAAAATAAGCTGTGTTCGCTGCGATAATGCGTTTGGCGTTATTGTCTTTAAAACAATGTATAATAAAACAATTATTGGATTCGGTTTTTGTGATATCCGGAATAATCGAGGTCTCAATGTTATCAGCCTCAGCCTTCAGCTTCGGCTAATAACACTTACCTCAACCTTGATTATTCCAGATATCACAAAAACTGAATCCAATAATTGTTTATTATTATATAACATGTCACATTCAAAATTGTTTTTCCCAACTACAGATTGATTTAAAAAACTGGCAGAAACCCCTTTGAGAGTTACTTTCTCTTGCTACTGTGAAGCTCTTCCTAAAAATTAGTGTCACCAGGAGGCTCTTCAGTCCAGCTGGAGAGCATAAGAGTCACTCAGATAAATCGCCTCTCACCAAAATATGCACAACAGATAACTCTACATCATCCAGATTACTATCGACAGTGTACTTAGATCCAATATGTGGAAAATGCTTCAAAGCTTCATTTCTAAGATATATCATAATCAAACACAACCAATATGTGAAATTCATATATCTGAACTGCGGTTATAGAAATGTATTTGTGCACGATCCTCACAGTAAAGAGCACTATTTAAGCACTAGTGAAAATCAGACCTGAAAAAATTCAGGCCTGTATGGGATTCGAACCACTGACCTCTGTGATACTAGTTAAGCACTCTACCAATTGAGCTAACAAGCCAACTGGGAGCAGGTCATCAAATTAGTCCGACATAAACCCGTAAGATGATAAATCAAACTCAACGAATAAATGAAATTCATATATCTGAACTACGGTTATAGAAATGTATTTGTACACGATCCTCGCAGTAAAGGGCACTATTAAGCAATAGTGAAAATCAGACTTGAAAAAAATTCAGGCCTGTACAGGATTCGAACAACTGACCTCTGCGATACTAGTGCAGCGCTTTAACAATTGAGCTCACAAGCCAACTGGAAGCAGGTCAACAAATAAGTCCAACATAAACCCATAAGATGATAAATTGAATATCTGAACTGCACTTAATATAATAAAATATTATATCATAATCATGGACAGTAGATTATTTTTCCTCAAAGACAAGTGTCTCTAAAGAAAACAGTTTTCCTACAAGGATACATTTTCCGGTAAATGAACTGAAAAACATTTATCTCAATTCCGTTGCAGCTGTAACAGTCACAGACACGAGATGCTGGAAGGTTAAAGTTAACCGAATCTTTCCTATTTAGCTTCCTTGAACACAATAAATGAAGTCACAAAGCGGGAACCGATCAAATATTAAACGTTCCAGACGAATTGTGGATAGCATTATTTAAACAAGATCAACAATGGAGGCAAATAAATCGAATCGGTGATTTCAAAAAGGCCAATACATGTGACCTTATCCCTGAAATCAAGCTAGTGTAAGCGTTAATTCAATAACACTCACAACCGCAGTGTATTCGTTACGATAATAATAATATTTAATTCTCGTTTTCATCAATCAAAGGAAAATTAGTTCAACTGACACATCTTGTGGCTTGATAATATAACCTCGTTACTTCTACATAAAATTTTCGTAATCATGCAAAATTTTACCGCGTTCATCTATTTTGATTTGAATATTTTAAATAAAATCATCTTACTCCTGTATTGAAGAGAAAAACTGAGCTGTCCCTTAAAAAATCTCCAAACGAACAGTGTAATGGTGAGCGATTCAAAAACTTAAAAATTTTGTTATGGCGCAGCGCTAAAAAACAACATTGACCAGACGAGATAACTAGCATGAATTTTTCGCTAGTACATCTCCGGTGATTTTGATTGGGAAGTGTTTATACTGAAATGCTACACAACATCACACTTTTCGAGAGGTTGGCTTTTGTAAATAAAAAGATGACCAAAACTAATTTGTGAGCTTCTCGTCGATAATAACTGTTGTAACTTTTGGACCATCATGCCACTGACGCAGATTTAGTCGTGGCCATTTGCAGCAAATCACACCAGTTAATGCTGAGAATTAAACCTTAATATCTTGTGCTGCATCAAAATTAGCCAATTAAGTCACTAGTACGAAGAAAATAAACGAGGAAACAAAAAAAAGTGCCCAAGCTTATAACACAATAGAGCTTTACAAGTGCCCGAGTAAAGAGGTTTGGAAGCTAGAATGGAGCAGGAATGATCTGGCCTACCTCGCTTTGGCTTGAAGAAACTCTCATGCAAGTGAAACACAACCTTCTCTACGAATTGGGAAATATCGTCACTCCCTGGTCCTCGTACAAATACTTGCCAGTCGTGTGTGAATCCCTCAGGACTGGGGTTTTTCTTACAAGAAGCTTTGTGTCCGAGTTCAATCTTGACTTCAACTTGAACTTTCTCCATGTCAAAGGATCTGCTTAGAGCACGTCAAATTTCGGCACGCTGGAGGCATTTCACGAACCAGTAAGGCTTAAGAGAAAATGATACCCGCCATCGAGGAAAAAGACACTCAATCATCCATGCCACAGTGAGCCATTCGCTTCGTTGAAGACTCAACAGTACAGGAAGAATTTGCTGTGAATCTCTTTGATTCACTGACAGTTCTTATGCGGCTGCGTACTAATAACGTTCCAAATATGGCGAACCTTTGTTCAGGACTATTCTGGATACGATGGGGGAGGGGTTAGGGGTGAAATGTGACCAATGAGAAGGTAAGGATGTGGGATCGTTTTTGTCTCATTTTCCTGGTTATGAACAAATAACCCCACATTTTTGGCAACAACATATGTTTTAAAGTTCAGTAAAATTTTTTTTTCTTAACAATTACTTTCAGTTGGCTTACCATAACTTATTGCAAATTGCAGGTGCAAGAAAAAATCCCCACCAGTTACGAGTAAATAAATAAATTTCTAAACTGAGAAATCATTAAAGAAATTACAGTGCATTCAAAATCATGCAGCAGCCGGGATAGTTACGCATAGCATAGATGGAATCATATAACACCAGTACTCTGTAAACTCCACTGGTTACCCATTGAGAAGGGAATAGTTTTTAATTTATGATTCTTTTATTGACATTTAAATACTTGAACTGCTTGGCACCACCATATCTCTATGATCTTGTACAAAATAAGTGCCCAGATGCAATTTAACATCAATTAATGGCCATTGCTTGATTGGCATTAGTTACAAACTTATTAGTTCTGGTTCAAGACCATTTTTTCTGTAGCCCCAGCTAAATTCTGGAACACACTGCCTCTGGAAATCTGTTCAAGGAAAAATTTGTTACAATCCAATTTCCCTCTTAGGGGGAAAAATGGTTAATGTGGTGTACAATGCAAGAAGTCATGCTGGCACACTTGTCAGCAATGCGACAATCCTGGTAACATATGCAGAAACAGTCTTATAACCAGATTTTGACATAATAAGCTAGCTGCTGGTTGGGAAATGAACCTACATTCTTCTCAGCCCACCTGAGGGAGGAATTAAGACTGGACTCAAGAAAACAGTGGTAGAGAACTAATTCTTCATTGGGTGTTGTTATACAAGGGGGCTTTGGGATTTTCGGTTTTGACTATTTTTGGATCGGTTTTTTGGTTTTTGGGCCAAAAAGGTTGGTTTTTTCAGTTTTGATGTTCAGAGCGGTTGGTGGATTTTATGTGTTCTTGCATTCAGTTTTCACAAAAACTTTGATGTGGTTTTCTGTATTTCCTTTTTGACCCCTACAAAGGTGAAAATGTAGCGGTTTTGTCAGGTTTGCTTGCGGTTTTCAGTTTTGCTGCCTTTTTTCGTCGGTTTTCAGCTTTGGAGATTTTTTTCTCCCGTGTTGTGGTTTCCCAGAGGCCCCCTCTTATACAAATCTAACAATTAAAACAGCAAGTCAGAGCAAATGTCAACATTATAACAAGCAAATCAGAATACAAAGTAAATACAGAGTCATTCATACAAACTCAAGGGAGTGAAAATTTCTATCATACCAAGGACGTGATTCTTCAGTTGTTTATCCTTTATTTCTTCCATTCAATTAATGGGGAGAATGGCTAGAGCTTGCTGGACCAATCACAGAGCACAAAAAAGCAAAATCAGAACAGTCCACAAGTGTACTTCTACTCTAAATAGAAAAGCATTCCAATTCCAAGTTTTGAATGAACATCCCTGTCAAAGAAGTTTTTTCATTACCCTGTGTTGAGCAACTAATTCCTTTTATTCAGGTTTCTGCTTCTTCCTCACTTTATCTACTTTTTGTAAGCTCTTCTCATCAATGTCTCTGCAAATCTGTCTCTCTCCAACACAGAATATATGAAGACGTTCTAAATTTCTTGGAAGTAAAATTAGTTTGTTGTCCCTGAGGTCTACATGACTCAAATTTGGCAGTTTGTTGACAGTGTTATTGTGCAAAGACTGAATCAGGTTTGAACGCAGAATCAAATTCTCCAATTTGTGAAGTCCACTCAAACCTTCAGGAAATTTGTTAAATTGATTCTCAGCAAGATCGAGCTGCTTCAAATTTATAAGGCAATGAAAGTCACTTGGAAGAGACGAAAGTTGATTTTTTGCTAAGCTTAGCCACTTCAGAGATTTTAAAGCCGAAAATCTGTCAGGCAAAGCCTTGATATTGTTACATCCTGCACCGAGTTTTTCCAAGTTCAGCAGATTACAAATCTCGGGTGGTAATGCCATCAGCTGGATGTTGACAATCCAAAGTTCTCGGAGAAAGGTTAGCTCCCCTATTTCTGAAGGTAAGAATCCTAAATTGTTGTGACTCAAACACAAAACTCGCAGATTCGATAGCCGCCGAAATCCTGTAGGTATTAGTGTCAACTGATTATGATCAAGTGCTAGAACTTGAAGATTTTTTAGCGTGACAAGTTCCACTGGAGGCATTATAATCTTGTTGTCATTCAACAACAAAGTTTTCACTTTGACGAGTTCCTTCAAAGAATTAGGAAGTACGGTCAGATCTCGGTGACTAAGATTTACAACCGTCCACTCTGAACTTACAGCAGTCAGTAATATTTTATCCACCTCCTTTTGAGCTGTGTGGTACATCTAACTGCGTCAAAACACATACGAAAACTCCGCAATATTCTCTTCAGTAACGAAAATAATTCGAAAAGAAGACATATGAGGTCTCGTTTCCAGATTCACCGTTCCCATGATAAGCAGAGACTCTGGGAACGAGATCGTAGATAGTGCGCGCACGAGTTTTGGTGTCAGCGGAGATTGCTCTGAGGGAACAAGGAACGGTTTCTTTTCGATAGCTCAATTTCCTTACTTTTTCTTTTACCTTTTATGACATAATTAGAAGTATTTTACAGGGACAGAAATTCTTCAGCACAATCCATCTAGCTCTTATTGGGAGAACAATATGATCAAGATGGTCTGATGGAATAGTAATTGACGAATGACAGGTAAACACCACTAGAAAACGAAAAAGTTTCCCTTACTTTCTATATGATTTAAAGAGAGAGTAAAAGCTATGATGTCCATAATGTTCGCTTAATAAAAGATATTATATATACAAGGCTAAAATATTTATAAAAAATTATTATAATGTTTAAACCAAACGTTTTCGGCTGTTTGCCATCACCAACCCTGATGATAGCAAACAGCCGAAAACGTTTGGTTTAAACATTTTAATAATTTTTTCTTAATCTTTTAGCCTTGTATATATAATAGTAAGAGCTATATTACAGAGAATACCAAGTATACAAAATGACCAATGGTAAAATTAACCTGACTGGGTCCAGTGCACATAAGATACAGGCAGCCTTTGCAACAGGCTACGCATTTTTTCAGTTTGCGGGTGTAATAACCCACTTGAAATGAGAACATGAGAAAAGTCTGTGAATTAATCACAAGTTCGATACTTGTCATTACAAACTTTTTGCGTGAGTAAAGTTATTACGCTGGTAAATCGATAGAGAGTGTAGTCTACTGCTTTTACAAAATGCTTATAGGTTTACCGGTGTGAAGTAGACGATTGGCTTTTTGACCAATCAGAGCCCTTGCAGTGTCTCAGCTTTTTTATAGGTTATTTCAGTCATATGTAGATTTTGTGAATTCCATATTAAATTGCACTTGTAAAACAGATATCGTACTCATTGTTTTGTGATTCATGCGATATTGGTTTTTGAGTGCAATAATTTTCCTTGTCAGGTCATGAAAGGGAAGTCTGTAGGGGAAGTCTCTAGGGGAAGTGCAATTTTTAGTCTCTGAAAATTTTAGTAGTGCTTCGAACACCAATACACATAATAATTCATTTTACTACTTATTAACAGTTAACATGAAAAATGCATCACAATAAATCAAGACTGACAAAATTGTAGTTTGTACTTGTGTTACAACTTTGTACTTTTAAAATTAATTGAAAGTACAAATTAAGTTGCACTGGTGGTTAAAAATGTTTCTGAAATTATAAACAATGAAAATGTTCCTGAAATTTCGGTCACAATCACAAGGGAAGTGAGCAAAAACATTTTATGCAAAAGTGCAAATATAAACAAGGCGCTGATGAAAATTCAAGAGATTAATTGCACCAAAGACCCACTCAACCGAGGTGATAGGGCTTTACTCCCGAAGGAGTATTTACACTTGACTCTCGCTAACAAGAAAAAGTGACACCTATCTTGAATTTTAATCAGCATCTTGTTTATATCTGCACTTTTGCATAAAATTTTTGCAACCAAATGTCTTGTCGTTGTTATTTCCTAGTTCAAAAATAGAGGGAAGTCTTCTGAAATATTTACTATCCTTTCAGAATAGTGAACAATGAGTTTGAGGGAGTTTGATGCTAGATTGTACCTGTAATTTATATTTGGCACACCCTGGACTGCTGCAGACAAAGAAAAAACTCTTGTTCTTGTGTTGTGGTCTCTTGAGACTTGTAAATAGGAAATTTGGACTTCTTTTTATTTTTGAACTAGGCAATAACAACAACAACAAGACATTTCAACATTTCGCAAGACAACACACCACCAGCTATCTGCCTTGAGATGTACCTGTTGCGTACAATTTCTAAGTGCATTGCACACTGCAGCAGAAATTCTTGCCACCACATCATTGTTGGAAGCCAGGTTGAGAGAGATCGATGTAGAGTGTTGGTCCGGCCGGGGCTGGAACCCTCGACCTCCCACACAACAGTCCAGTGCTCTATCCATTGAGCTAACCGGGAGGCGGTTAACTCATTGTAGCAAATGAGCGGGAAATGAGCGGGAAAACAGGCCACGTGGTTGTTACGTCTCCATACCAAATTAGGTAAATAACCAATTTTGCGCTAAATAACCAATTTTCCATGATTTTGGTTATTTAGCAAACCAATTTTCAGTTTTGGTTATTTAGCAAATAACCACTTTGCAATTTTGGTTATTTAGCAAATAACCACATTCATGTTTTGGTTATTTGCTAAATAACCAATGTCTTGTTTTGGTTATTTATAAATAGCCAAACTGCAATGTGGTTATTTATATATAACCATACTTGTTTTGGTTATATACAAATAACCACTCTAAATAATAAAAATACATTTGGCGCCCCATAACAAATAAGCTAGAAATTAAATATTTCTGCAGCACGAGAGCAACAGGGCAAGGGCCTGGGCCCTTGAGTATAGATGCATTATGGGTCTAGTGATATGAGTATTAAAGCTTGTGATTGCACATGGGCAATCATTCTAGGCCAACACCATCTCAGTTATTGCTAAGTTTATTTATTTATTTTTTTGTAAGTATGCATATAGCCTAGTAGGAAGGTTACACGAGCTTGGGCCTGGTTACTACCCAGATTTCCTGTCTCTTTTTCCCTACAGAGTTTTTTTATGGCAGCTAGTTTTTTCTGGCCGCCATTCTAACCACGATGTTTGTTAGTGGTTGCTAAGCTCTCAGTATGTCTTTTTGTTGCGTGCTGTGATGAGGATTATTGAGAATGCAATGGTTTTTTATATGTGTTTCTTCATTATTGTACGCTGGTGCTCAGCCGAAAAATGCAAAATAAACCTAATGGTTCAATATATTAGTGTCTGTTGGGTAGTGTAGCTGAAATGGGGAGGAGTGCTTGATGACCGAAATATTAATCTAAATAAGGAGTTGCAACTAGGTGGGTTCATGACCATAACTACATAAAATATTTACACTGGCAGAAAGTCCCAAAAATAGTCAGAAAATGTTTTAAAATTTCAACGTTTATAACTTTTTTCTTATTTGGAAAGCTTTTTACCTGAGTAACGATTTTATATAGATATGAAATGTTATTGATTCTTGTCTATTGGCTTCAAGATACTCCTAACCTTGAAAACGTCGACCATGAGCCTAGTACCTGTCAAACTATAAGATGAACGGCTTTATATCCATCAGTTGTCAAATTCAAGTGTCAAAGTAGGTGAACAGACTTGGAGTAAATTGTCGTAATTAAAAGAATTTTCTTTTTTAGAATTCTCGGATCAAACTAACCTACGATCAAAACCAAACTCAGCTGGTATGACTTCGACCTAAATCTTTGTAATACTCAGCAGCGGTTATAATTAGAACGCGGAAAATGTTGTGTTTACCTTGCCAATTTGTATCGTTCCACCTGTTCTTTTCACGCGGCAACATTTGTGAGCTACTTTGTCAAAATTGTCCAATCAGGGAAGAGCCTGTATTCGAAATGAAGTAACTTTTTCCTTCATCGTCGCCCATATCGGATTGTGATCGGTCGTTATTATTTTTTTTGGTTAGCAATTGTACTCTGAACTTGTTCAGTCACAGAGATTGGAATCGCCACGGTACGTCGGTTTCTTTTGTTGTTTACAAATGGAGGTCTAGTTTTAAATCTGAGGGAAAGCAGTTATGAATAAGTCCGAGGTGTTAAACCTCCCGATTTGAGATGTTGTCGCCTGTTCTGATACTTAAGCCTTAACTGTATTTGAAATTTCCGTACAATGAGGTAGATATTGTTAAAGTAGCTACCGATTGCCTAAAATCAAGGAGTATAACATGAAAAACACCGAGATCGTTTTTGTAACAACAAAATTGTCATTCGCAATCGACACGTAGCATACGACCGCTGTGTCATAAATAGCCTTTTAAAGTCTCTCCAGATAATCGTATTTCATTATGCTATATATTATCGGAGATCATTTGCTAATTTTTCATGGAATTTTTTAGTACTTTATAAGCCAAAGCGAGGATATAAAATCAAACAGACATCAAAGTTGTGCGAAGAAACTCTGCGGGTGATTTAGAAAGCGGATAATTTGCATTTCTCTAGAGACTTGACCTGAATCTTGTCGACCAATGTTTCAGTTGGAGGGTCAGTATCTTGATAATGTATGAACGACTTGTTGTCAGGAAGTACGTCATGTGTATTTAGACTTCCGCTTTTCGGCGAAATACTGAAATCATGAATCACTTGGACGAGCGTGATAACATCCACGTTAGTCAATTATTAATCAAGTGCGTGCTCAGGAGTAGGAATTTTTCCATTATTTCATTTGCGTACTCAATATTCTTGCCATAGGTAGCGCAATGAAGCTTTCTTTAGTGCATGTGAAACTTTTTCATGGCAAAAAGCCTATTCCCATCCTTAAACAAAGGAGAAAAATTGCGAAAACTAAAAGTAAGGTTGAACTTACGTTACCTGCATGTGACAATTTAGCGAGACATTCCCGGGATTAGTTTGGAAAGTTCAGGGTTAGGATTGTTTACTCTTATTGCTTAATTTCTAGGAAAAGAAGTTATAACAAAGACTAGTCCGAAAAGCTGTGGCTCAATGGATACTACTTCCAACGCCGGAGCTGAAACAAACGATTCTGCGAGTTCGATGAGTTTCAATGAATTCGAAACGTAAGTACTTGGGAGAGCGATTCGTGACCTAGCGATTTCTTGTCATACAGAGAAGAATCTTTAATTTTTCAGATTTGCAGATGAGGTCAATGGTGATATTCCTGAGGTAGACTACCGAGGAAGACTCAAAAGGTTTGGTTTCATTGTGTTTGTTAAAGTTTTTACTTGCACTGCTGAGTGACTCTCCATCAAAAGCTAAGCGCATCGCTGTAACAAGGGGTACTGGTTTTCTGTTTATTATGTTAAGCGGTCATTTTTGCCTTCGAAACAGTCAGATCTGAGAACGCAAAGTTAGTATTGAAAGTTTATCTCAAGCTATTTTAGCGTAGATAAGAACAAAAAATTTTATGTCAACCATTTTCGATTCCATGCACGTTTCAGAGCGTATTGATTTATTCCGGGTAAGTCGGGGGGGGAGTGACGCATCGGTTTTTTTGTTCCGTATAGTCGCTAATCTGCCTTAATGATGTTCCTTTCTTTCGCTTTTCCTCTTCTCAGCGAGAAATTACCATCAGACGTTTACGTTTCCTCCATTTCACTATCACAGGCAAGTGAAACAACGTTATTTTATACAAAGCGCGCGCTTCATGTTCAGTAAACCGGAAGTGAACGTACAGGTGGAGTGATCGTGGACCAAATCAGCTGATGTGATGTCACGCAAAATCATTCGATCGGAGGCCAATAAATACGCGACGCTTTTTGTCAGAATTCTTTCTCAATCTTGACAGAATGCGTCTGCAATGGTTATTAAGTCATCGAATTCTTTTCTCTAAAATTTTCTTTCGGTTGCGGTCGATCGATTCCCAGGAATTTGCGGGTTTCTTGTTTACGATACACATTAATAGCGTGAGTAGTGCCTAGTTACGTTTTCGATGAATGGAGGTCGAAAGCGATCGTCTAGTTGTGACGAGAGGAAAGGTCAACTTTTTTGAGAGATCAAAGCGCTTGAAAAGTTTAACTCGAAAAGTGCAATATGTGCCATTGATTTTTCAAGATATGGTGAGGTTTAATTCATCCTCAGGTGAGAAGGTAGGCCTCTGTACATGCATCGATGAGCAATTTCTTGTATGGGAACGCAACTGCAGGTTGAACAAGTATTGACAATTATAACAAACGATCATAATGATATTAAAGCTCACTTTAAAGCTCAGACTACTTGGCATGCGCTGGAAATATAACTAGCGTTTAAACATATCAGCTTTTTGTCGGGAAATGGACCAATATCGAAGTAATTTCAGTGTCAGAGGTTGTTTGCGTAGTTACAAGGAACTTTGTTTTGGGCCCAAAAGATGTTCATTGTGGCACAACCTTCCAAGGAGCCGTTTGAGGGACCTTGGTGCTTGTTATTAGCCCTAGGTTAAACAAGTTAATTGTGACATATTTCACCCTTTCGTAATATTTTCTTTGGAGACAGGTACACTGTACTGGAGCCACAATCTATTGTATCCTCGGCCTGCGTTGTTAGGCCGGTATGCGCATACATGCACGCTTTAACTACTTTTAATTAGTTTTGTGGGAGGTGGCGGCATTTAATTGTCTAACGTGCAACAACTTGAATACAGCTGGAGAAGTTTTACATTTGGGCTAGCCTTTGTTTGTTCAAAAATCGTTTCGAATGCTTTTGTCTGTTTGAGCTGAGAGAAAATTGGGACGTCGTGAATTCTGCAAAATCTTGAAACTCAGTTATGTCATATTGCCCAGTAGGGTGCAATATATGAACTAGCCATTCTAATTTGAATAATCTTTTTAAATTTTTGGCAAATTCTTTCATTAAGCTGTCATTGTTTTTAGATCAATAAACTTTTTATTACTCAAGGATACAAAACACACAAAGAATTAAAGAGTCTGGCCTGGCAATTTTTTAATTCTCTGACAAAGCTTTTAGTTAGTAGTCAGCAATGATTCTAACATTTGAGGGAAATCAGCCAGAGTTGATTCACTTGGGAGAGATCATATTAAGTCTTTCTCTTCTTTTACTAATTTGAAAGGGTTCTAGGAAACTTAAGCCTGGTATAATTTTATCTACTTGTGTTGCTTATTAAGGAAGTAGGAGTGTTTTATTTTGACGAGGTTTAATATCATTAACTTAATAACCCTCTAACTCACATGAGTGACCAAGACAGAATTTCTCCTTACAATATCAATACAATATCAAGCAGACGAGTGAGGAGAATAACAAAGAATGTCAATTAGATGATTATTAGTGGATCCAATACCAAATTCCCCAACCCAACATCATTAGAATTGTATGGCAGACAGAAAGGAGTATTATTAAATATAGATCTTGATTTTGAAAGGGTCAAAGATCACCTTTTCTATGGGAGAGGGCTGTAGAGTAATCATAGGTAATTGTTTCAAAAGAACTAATTCTACTGTTCTTTCAAGAGGGGGACAAAAATAAAGCACTTAGGTAGGAGTGTATTGAACTTTACTGTCCTAACTTCCCTGGGTATAGAAAAGAATGGTTAATTTTAGAAAATAATGTACATTTTCATTTTGAGAAAAAAAAAACTCATATAAAGCATCTGCAAGAATCCATTTAGGATCTTAGCCACAAACCCCATTTCACAGCACCAGCTTAGTAAATTTATATTTATGAGAACATGGTATGTTGTTAAAAAAAAAAGATGTTGATTGACTGTTGACAGCATCAGGCTAAAGAAATCTCTGTCAAGAAGTCTTCCATGCTTAACTGTAAAATCCACATAAGCTTTATAGAGAAGTCTTGTTTTTTATCAACCAAGTAAAGCAAATTATTTATGTGGTTAGAAACTGTAACATTATTTGACTAGATTTTGAATAATAAGCTTTGCTTTGGTTTTGTTTCCTTTTTACACAGTCACAAATTCTCAAATCAGATAGGACACCAAACTTTATCAAGGTGAGCTTGCATATATAGTACTGAGATACAATGACTATATGAAGTTCATATATTTTGAACTGCAGTATTAGATACGTATGATGCACGATCCTCGCAGTAGATAGCACTATTTATGCAATAGCGAAAATCAGACCTGAAAAAAATCAGGCCTGTACGGGACTCGAACCACTGACCTCTGCGATACTAGTGCAGCGCTCTACCAATTGAGCTAACAAGCCAACTGGGAGCAGGCCGTTAAGTTGATTCGTAATAAACCCGTCAAAGTGATAAATGAGATACAATGACTATATGAAGTTCATATAGTCAACTTAACGGCCTGCTCCCAGTTGGCTTGTTAGCTCAATTTGTAGAGCACTGCACTAGTATCGCAGAGGTCAGTGGTTCGAGTCCCGTACAGGCCTGATTTTTTTCAGGTCTGATTTTCGCTATTGCATAAATAGCGCTATCTACTGCGAGGATCGTGCATCATACGTATCTAATACTGCAGTTCAAAATATATGAACTTCATATAGTCATTGTATCTCATTTATCACTTTCACGGGTTTATTACGAATCAAATTAACGGCCTGCTCCCAGTTGGCTTGTTAGCTCAATTGGTAGAGCGCTGCAGTAGTATCGCAGGGGCCAGTGGTTCGAGTCCCGTACAGGCCTGATTTTTTTCAGGTCTGATTTTCGCTATTGCATAAATAGCGCTATCTACTGCAAGGATCGTGCATCATACATATATAGTACTGTTACTAATTTTTGTAATTAGCTCGAAAGATAACTAAACATTAAATCTTCATGAATATTGAACATTTAATTCATGATAATGTGTTTTAAGAGTGTGAGTCAAAATTTTTATGTCATTTCTTCATTTATCACTTAGAAAGTTAACTTGTTTTTCTGTGCAGTGTGGTGTTTTTGTAAATAACCTGTTTGTAAACAGTATAGTATACTTCAGTTCTGTAGAGTCGTGAAAAAATGTACTGAGACTTGGAAAATTACTTGTAAATAACTATTTTAAGACCATGGGAAATAAAGAGTATTCAGGTTGTCTTAAAAAAAGATTTTACTGGGATATACAGTAAGTCTGGAATTTGTTTCCTTTAATTTTCAAGAAGCAACATTATTTGCTTGCACTTGTTTGAGAATTAAATTAATAAGGAAAATTGCTGAATTGAAATAAGTCACGACAAAAGCTCTGAGACCAGAGAATTTTAAATTTTGGAAAACCCTTGAGAGACGTTTGCTACTTAGGCCATGCTACTTGCTGACACATGACCTTGTGTCAAAATTTGTGTTTGAAAATTAAAAGTCATAGAAGTCTAAAGGTCTGGAAGAGTCCTTGAAGTTTCTACCCAAAAATGAGTTATTACAATTCATGAGTCTTTGAAAAAAGATTAAAAAAATCTGCCGAAAATGTCTCTACAGAGATCCAAAGGGTGCATGTCTGTAAAGATCACTAGGTTCCTGAATTTCTTTTCAGAATGCTACAAAGATATTTAAGGATTACAATGCAATGTCTTAGAAGGAGTTTTTGGGTGGTTCTTCAGCTGAAAATGATGTACTCATTACTTGCTAGAACAATCACCACTTAGCATAGAAACTTCATGCTCTGTAAATGGCAAATCCGTTCAAGATCCATTTTGTTTATTTTTTTTATCTTATGAAAAGTCATCATTGAAAGTCTCTAGGAGGTTGTTCATAATTCATTGCTATTTCTTTAGGACCCAAAATTATCATAAATGACAGTACATTGAAAGTACCTAATTTCAGTAATGAAGGTCATTTGCACAGAGCAAGTGCAAATGTGAAGATGTTAATGTGTGATGAAAGAGGGATCTTAAGCTTACTTATATTGACAGAATGAGAAATAAAGAAGGATTCCTTGTGAAAGTCCCTTCAAAATCCTCAATTTTTTTTTATTTTTATTTTAAATGACCTGCAAGGTTATATGTCATATTCTATGATATAAATGTGGAAGTTAGATATACTAAGTAACTTGTTTCTGATAAAATGAATGAAAATATTAATAGCTTTAATACTCAGTAAATAATCTGAGTAAATTTGAACTCTCCACCCAGCCTGGATTCCAAAGCAGTTTTGTTTATTTTTCAAATGTTCCAGTCACTCTCTGAGCACAGTCTGAAAGTGCTAAGTGCTTTAATGTTCACAGTTAGCTGTCTACATATATTGTCTAATTATATGTTGGAGTCATATACATTTTGACTACTTATAAAAGTTGAATAATTTCTTTTAACATCGACTCCTAGTTCTCTTTGTCCTCAAGCCCTAATTATAATTTGTTAGGGATATGACACAAAATTTTGAAAACTGCAAATCAATATAGAAAGAATTTTTTTCATCCAAAATTAAAATTTAACAGGAGCGCATACATCCACATTTTCTACCACAATTGCTTTTTAAGGTGTAAAGTCTCTATGGATATTCGCCAAGAAGATTATTGGATGTGATAAATTATTAAGTTGACACAGTGTGGTATAATTGACAGGTGGTTTTGTTTTAAAAAACAAATAATGTCCAAAATGAAAGAAAAATTAATTTACATTTTTATGATCCTTGTCCTTGATGTGTTGGGCATGTGTGAATTCTGTAAAATGCTCTGCACAGGGCAAACCGATTGATTAGGCAGGAAGGGGATTTGAAGTGGAAAATCGTAATATCTTTCTTGGTTTTGTAATCCTAGTTAAGAATTTAAATCTGATGTTATCATAGATTTTCATGAATTTTTTTGTTCAAATGATGTGTGTGTTCTTACCCAGCTTAAAGATGTTGAACTCTTGGATTTTGTATGGAATAGTTTACCTGGAGAATAAAGTGTTTGTGTTCATGTTTCATGTGACAACTCTAAACATTTATGATATATGCTGTCTTCATTCAAACCACCAGGAGCTCAATTGGGTTAATTTGTTTACATAGAACAATTTACTTTGGGATAAATGCTACTACCAATTGTATTCTTTCACCTGCAACTTGTTTGTAGCCAATCAGGAGCAACCTGTCATCTCTGTGGTCTGTTTCTGAATCTTGGTTTATTTTAAGCCTTGAATTAATCATCTATGTGAGAAATGATTTTGACCAGGTTTGTTCCTCACTTGAACCAAGTCTGCATAATGTCTCGTGCATTTCAATTAAAAGTGAGGACATACCAAAGGCCCTCTCCCAAAATACCATGAATGCAGGCAAACGGAGATTAAGGCGGCGGAATACAGTGTTTGGCCGATCTAAGGATGATAGTTTTCAAGTCACAAGCAAGCCACGAAGGAAAGGAGCTAATTCACAGAACAGATGGGTAACTTGACATCAAAATTTCCTGTTTATGTAAAGCTTTTATGTAAACTCAAGTAGGCTTGAAGAAGTGGACTAGTGCAATAGGAAATCCTAAATGGTTGACCTACTCTTCTACTATTATAGGGATCTTCATACTTAGACTACAGCGTGGAGTTTCAGGATAGTAAAAGTTCAAAATAATAGCAACCTATTTCTACGTGGTTTCCTGAGCTCACATATTTATAAGATGTTAGTTAGCTGCACAGTCATCCAGCCAATATTTTCTGGAAAAATTGCAAAAAGGTGGCTTGACTTCACACCAAATAATATTAATAATATCTCAGAACAACACTCATGGTTTTCAAAATATTCTTTAACACCAATACAGCAGTGTTATTTATTTGTTAAATATTGGCTAAAACTTTGATTTCAATCCTCAGAATTTTGTTACTAATTTGTGGCTCAGTACCTTGTCCAAAATACCATTAGAATGGGCACTGCATTATGTTCTCAGAATTGCAAGAAGCCCATTTTGAGAATGCTTGGTTTGGAAATCAATTCTGATGGCTTGTAGTGTATAAATTATTAATTCACAAGGAACAGTCATAAATATCATTTTTCTTAACCTAGTGGAGCATTTAGATCTTGTGATTGACTTTGATGTATTTGTGGACTTGATATGTATTTCTGGTGATATTGATATCCTTGGCAGTATCGCCCTAGTCAGCTTATTTAAACAAATTCTGTGACGAGACATTTACCATACAGTATGCATATTATACATTTTACATTTTTGTGCAGACCAGTGTTATGCACTATAACCTAGATTAGGTTAATGTGTGAATAAAAAAAATTATGTTCTAATGATAATAGAGTTATGAAGTTTTCCTAAACTTAAGGTCTTCACAAAGTGATGAGTTGAAGTTCACAGTTAGCATTAAAACTGTACATCTTCAGTGTTTCTCTGTGGTATTCAAAATATTTTGAGAGAGATGTACCTGTCATTCCTATGTAAACACAGAGTTTCATCTGTCAATAACTTAATTTATTGTTGCACAGACATCAGTTTTCGTAAATAACACCTGATGTTCATGTCTTAATTAAAAGCCTAAATGTTATATATAGTTCATGTCATAAAAGTGTGCACATGAGGTGAATAGCAGCTGCAGTTATTTTTGTAGTAAAGTAGCTGTTCTGCTACCTAACCATGAGGCAAAAAATTATTGTGACACTACATTTTATATAACAAGACTGTGAAATTTCAATTTTTACTCTGTAAAACTCACAGAACTTGTGATCAAGGCAAAAAGTGACTGTTATGATAAGGAATGGTTAAACGCAGCCAGAAAGTTGTTTCACTAGTTCTGAACATGTTCTAAATCTTTTTTTTTTAATTTTTTATTTATTTATTTAATATTTATTTATTTTCATGTTCTAAATCTTTATGATACATAGCATAAAATATTTTAACATGGCCTGGCCACTATAATATTAATAGCAAACAACATAAAACCAAACAAATAACTGGCATATTTTGATGATCATTTAACCAAATAATCATACCCAGTAAGACAACCTTTTGAACTGGATTGACAAATTTAGATGTTGATTTGTCACTATTTGAGAGGTACACGACTGTGCTAAACTGGCAACAGTTCGACTTTGACCTACATTTTGTTGACAAAGTTCCATGTCAATTTACAGTTTACATTTTGGTTTAATTGTTTTTACTTGCAGTCTTTACTGTCGACACGGACTCCTTATGAAGAATTTCACCGTCTTTTTAAGAGTGTCCCAATGGACCAGTTCCCTATAAATGGCAAGTATACCAATTAACTAACATTGAATAAATACATGTCAACCTTCGATTAAAAAGAAAGTTTGATAAATATTCCTTTTGGTTCAAGAAACTGTTGAGTGTTAATTCTTTATTACTTTGTTTAAGAGGAAATTTTGATTATGTCATTGTGTATAATAGTGTAAAATGTACTTACAGTTGAACCCCCCAAAATTGTTTTTTTTTTAAATTTGTTAATTAGTTCAGTGTTTTCAGATTATTAATTTTGAACAATGTAACAACTTATCAGTAAACTGCTTCTCTCTTTTCTTTCTATCTCTCTTTTTTTTTATTTCCAATGTTGTTGTTTTCAGTGATATTCAATCCCAGAGGCAGTAATTTATTTGAGTTATGAATTTCTCTTTTAGATTTTTCCTGTGCTCTAAGTAGGGAAATTCTACTGCAAGGAAGAATCTACATCACCCAAGGATGGTTCTGTTTCTATTCAAACATATTTGGATGGGAGACACAAGTAGGTTTAAAACTGCTGTTCAGCACTGATTCCCTTTTATATATAATTTTTAATTCTGTTTTGGTGTTTTTTCTATTAGTGTTATCTACCCTTTGAACAACTGGGGCCTAGTCCTTGCTGATCAAAGTGGTGGACAATCTCTAATTGATTGAATATTATGTCATATCTTAATGCTATAATGATACCATAGAGTGTTTAATTAATAAATGAAGTAAAGGGAGAATGGTGTAAATTGATACAAAAATATTCCCTTGATATCTGAATGAAGAAAAAGCTGGAGAGTTTTGTTTAGCAGTGAGTGAATTATTCAATATCTGAAAAACACCCTGACGGGACCGACTTGCATTTGTGTTCACTGATTAAAGTACCCATTGCAGCACTTAGTGGAAAATATAAATGGAGACCTCATAATTTATTTTTATATCTCCGAAGAGAATGATAATAGTAATTATGATGTGATATTTTATCTAAACTTTTTAACATTGTGTAAAATACAACATTTTCAATAAGTGCTCAGCTGATTAGTCCCTCAACTATCTTAGAGTTTTTTTAATGGCCATGTTCACTTTGCCTTTGGCAAATAAGAAAGAAAGATGAAATGTATTCATTTGATTGTTTTCATTGTGTTTATTTTTTTATTCAATTCTTCAGGTAACAATAGATTGTACAAAAATTCAGTCCATAACTAAAGAGAAAACAGCTTATGTTGTACCTAATGCAATTCTTGTCTGCACTGATGAGGAAAAGGTTAGCTCATTGCAAATTGTTTTTGTCATCAGTATTAATTATTTTAAGGGGCCACCATGGCCTCATGGTTAGTGCACTTAACTCCAGATCTAGTGGTGTGGGTTCAAGCCCTGGCCAAGGACATTGTGTTGCATTCTTAGGCAAGACACTTTACTCTCTCAGCTTGTAGTATGAATCACAATGCTAATTTGCAGCTGAACCTTTTCCCACCTTTTGCAGCACTTCTTTTCATCATTCTTGTCCAGAGAAACTGTCTACAAACTCCTCCTTCAGGTGTGGGATGAAGTCAAAGCTAAAAATGAGGTGAGTGGATGAAGTCCCTCTAAATTATTCCAGGTCTGATCTGATTTCAGTTTTCTACCTTCAGCTGGTTACTGGTAACTCATGTAATACTCATTTGTAATTATTTATTACTTTGAAGGCTCCATCATTGCCATGTAGCCATTATTATTTCTCTCTGATCCTGATGCCTTTTACCCCATTGAATAGCCAGATGGAAGAATGTTGTTTGTAATGGTTCTTGAACAAAGGAGACTCATGATTAACAAGAAGCGACTCTTATGCTTCTCTTACGCTTCTTTCGTGCTTAGCAACCTCCCGCGTGCATCCATAACTCAATAGTGTACGCTGTGGTGTTTACCATTTGTTAATGGTCTGCTGGTACTTAATTTTTAGTGAATTTGTTTTCTTTACTTTAGAAAATGGACGGAGTGGAATTGGAGAATCAGGTGAACATTTTAGTTATCTTAAATGTTTGTGATTTTATTTTTTCATTAAAAGTTTGGGCTTTCAATCTAATTTGAGGGGACCATAGAAGGGAAATTATTTTAACATTACAACTATTTTATTGTTATCATTTTTAAGGAATTATTGATAACTCAAAGTTGTCACCAACAGTGAATCATTAATGATTTTATTGTCTTATACATGTTAACTAAATAATTATGCCTAGTATGCATGCTCGTGTGTGATTTATTCTCACCCAGAAAACCGAAGCTGGTTTTCCCACAGAAGATAAAGATGTGTGGGAAGATGAAGATGAAGAACAGAATGCAGAGGAAAATAATGGTATGTAGATAGATGTCACCACTTTGTGAAATCACTTCTGACGTACATAACCAACCAACATCATCTAATGACTGTTGTACTACTTAAAAGTACAAGTACTAAGCACAATTAATATAAGAGGGATTTTTTATTCAATGTGAGGAAACTTTTAATTAGCAGTTATTAATTAAATAATAATTTAAAAATATTTCTAAACTTCAGCTTCGTTTTCTCCCAGACAATCAGCAATGTAGGATGACATGAAACTTGTTTTTGATATATTGATCCTTTTAACTCCCAAAAGTGATAAACATGTAACTTCTCCCTATAATATTCATACATTGTTGAGCAAACAGGTAAAGAGAATACTCAAACTTATCTGGTAGAAGTTATTATCCTGATCTAACACCAAATTATAATGAATTATTGTAACTAATTTACAAGTCAGGAAATGTGTTGAAAAGTAACATTCAGACTTTGGGAGTTAAAGTGCACCTACACCCAAAAAATTTTTTTCGCTTAACGAAGTAAGCTTATTTTTTTGAGTATTTCTGCGCAAAAATTTTTTTATTTGCTCAAATCTTCAATTTTCTATGCCCAGTCAAAATACGGAAAATCGGCCGCCATCTTGCCCCACGACCGAGTTTAAAGAGGAATGGCTCTAGTGGGTAATGTGACGTCAAATCGAGAACAC